TTCTAATTTAAAAAAAAAAACAACCAAAACCAACCAAACAACAAACCAACCACCGTATTTGTATTTTCATCTTATCTGTTTTGGTAGTTATTTCACATTGTCTCTTAATTTTCATGTTAAAAGTAATGACAACTTGTTCAGAACAAAAATCCAAGACTCTCATTTGGATTCCCAGCTGTGCTACAGCAATTCCCAGTAGTCTCCCAGTTGCCAATGCTTATAATTTTACAATCTTCATACTTTATTTTCCATTTGGGGTGCCTGGTGATGACAGATGACCCAATTTTCACCGAAGGCCCATGCAACCCTTTATGGTTAAAATGAATGAAAAATAGGGGAAAAAATCATAACTGCTTGGAGTCTGAATTAAGATTTTCAAGTTGTTTGCAATACTGCGATCCTAGTAGCACCAACATTGATATAAAACCATGTGTTTTACAATGAATTAGGGCTTCCAGCAGAAATTTTCGGCTGTGGAAAATCTCAAATATTACCCTTGCTATCTTCCTTTCCTTAACATTTTGGTTTTCAGGCTCCTGCCTCCCACACAGTCCTGTATATATTCTAAGCTCCAAATGGTTAAAGCCCTGGCATTCCTTCTGACTGGCATTTCCAAATCTCTCCTGGGGCCCATGCAGCGTTTATGCCAAAATGCTTTATTATTATACAAACACAGAGCAAGAGGAGGAGAAAGAGAAAACCTCCGCAGTTCGTCCTCCAAAACCCGCTCCTGCTCGCCGGTTTGAAGCTCACCATACCAACCCCAACCCTCACAACACCCGCAAGCGATACTTAAAGAGCAAAACCGGTGATGTTTTAATGAACGGAGGACCCGGCTCCCCCGCCACCGGGCCTGGTTCTCCTCCCAAATGTCTCTCGGTGCGGGAAGGAGGCGGCGGCCCCGGCGCTCGCCCGCTGCCTCGCAGGCTCCCCCGCTTTTCCCCAGCCGCTGCCTCCCGATTTAGCCGTGCCCCCGCGTTAAAATAAGGCCGGGCCGCAGGGCTGTTCCCGACAGGCCCAAATCAGGCTCGGCGGCACCGGCGCTGGGCGAGGGCCCTGGCGCCCGGCTCGGTCCCCAGGCTCGGCCGCCCCGCCGCCGGCCCGACCTCCCTCACACGGCCCCGCGCCTCCCCACAGCGGCTCCCGCG